GTTCGGTAAACGTGTGTGTGTGTGTGTGTGTGTGTGTGTGTGTGTGTGTGTGTGTGTGTGTGTGTGTGTGTGTGTGTGTGTGTGTGTGTGTGTGTGTGTGTGAGTTTTGAGTGTATGCATTGATGGATGATGAGACACATTTCCCCTTTTTGTTTGTCTTTGTGGTTCATTTACGTATTTTTTAAGCTATGTTTGCCTTTGTAGTAGTTTTCAAATCATTTTTGTGTAGCTATTTATGTTTTTCTGTTCATGTTGTGTCTTCATTGCAATGATGTGTCTCTTTGATATAGTTTTGCATCTCTTCATGGTTGTTTTGCCTCTTTATTGTGGTTTTGCGTCTCTATACTTTGCATCTCCTGATCAGTTGTACTTTCGAATCATTTACGTTTTGTTTTTTATCTGGTAATTGTGCATCTCTTCATGGTCATTTTGCTTTTATTGATATTCTGCAGGTAAACCATAACTGTCGGATGTGGCTGTTGATTGAGAAACTTTAGCTGAACTCAGTATTTAGTTTACGCTTGGCATGAGAAGCTTTCTGCTTTTTGATTTGTGTACACAAAAACAGAATGAGAAAACTTGAATTGTGTGTGCGTGCGTGCGTGCGTGCGTGCGTGTGCGTGCGTGCGTGCGTGCGTGTGTGTGTGTGTGCGTGCGTGTGCGCGTGTGTGTGCGTGTAGCTGAGATAATTTCCTGGGATCAACACACTTTCTGTCTAGTCTTAAATTTGCTCTTCCCAGTGACTGTCTGGAAGTTATTGTTTGTAAGAGAACAGATGTTTCCATCATCTTGCAGCTCATATAAAAACTCTTCTACACTGAATTTGTCACTTGTATATTTTTTTCTTCACCCAAGACACCTTGAGATCAGGGCTGCAGAGAAACACTTTCTGCACACATGCATCACATCCGAAACAAAAAGCGTGATAAAAACACCCAGCCGTTTCTCTTTCGGCAGTCTCAAGATTGCAAAAGTCTGATCTCACGAAGGAAGGAAACAGAGCTCTGTATGTTTCCCTCAGTGTATACAAAATCTGCCACTTCCTCAGGCTGACCACTCTGCAGCGAGACTGAAAGGTAAGATGTTGCAGCTTTTTGCTCTGCAATGCTGTGACCCAGTTATCATTTCAAAAACCTGAGTGTGCTTTCCTTTTGAGGTTGTACTTGTCAAAGTGATATCAAGATGAGAATTAGCAAAAAAAGAGCTGGTGTTGAGTATCTGTTTTGTAATCAAAGCTAACAATTGAGTAATCATAAAAGCAGAACTGACTGAAATGAAGTGATTGTTGCTTTTAGTTGTAAACGTGTCTGTGACTGCTCTATAAGTGGAGGTCTCCTGCTCTCTGTGCAGTGACGCAGTATCTTGTCTCCTGGCTGCATGCTGTGTATTGATTATGCCTTCTTGAGTCAGATGTTGACAAAGCCATGTACAAATCTACATTTTTTTTTATGTGCAACGCTTTCCTCTTGCCCTTAAGCCTGATTTACATGTTGGAGTGCTGCATTCGTGTCTGTCAGCACATCAGTGAAAATGCAATACAGAAATGTTCTATTTTGGTAACAAGTGCTTTTCCTTTTACCTTGTAACTATGCTTATTTTTAGCAACCAGGCACTTTCGTGACTGTGAAGAACTGCAGAAAAAATATTGAAACCAGTGCATGATTTTCTAAATACTTGTATGTCGACACCATGCAGCTTAAGTAGGTGTGAGGTATTTTTGAGATATTTCCATTAGGGCTTGTGTGACTTCTTCACGTTTTGGACCCTCAGTCACTGTCAGAGCTCATGGCGTGTGAGCGTGACCATGACAGACGTTTTTTATTTGGAATCGGTTTGTGGTGATGACTCTTAGTGCAGAGCTGCCAGAGCTGGTATGCATCTTGTGGGAAACTGAACTGAGACCTCGTGACCGGTTCAGTCTTTCTCACGGCATTCAGACTCTGTATTTGGGTCCCAGTGTAACCAGTCAGGTGTTCCTTCCTATCAGAGCTGTGGGCTGATGTGAGTTCCCACCCTCTCTTCTCGGATGTGAACTCAGACCACCAAACCACACAGCCTGAATCATTATGGTCCTTTCATAGTAGAGGCGAGTTCTTGAAATGACTTTCATAGAAATGATGATCATTATACTAAAAGCCTCCTGTTAAAGTGAGAGCACTTGTTTCTACAAATAAGGGATCCAAATATAGTGGGGCATGGAGAAATGTCTGTTGCATCACAAACTTCCTCTAGAAGCCACAACATGCATTTCAGTTCTTTTTTAACAAATAAGACATACTGTGGTATTTTATCACAGTTAAAGGTGTTTGTTGATCTGAGGACAGAGCCAGTGGGTGTAACAATAGACTGTATAAGGCTGTAACTAACAATCATTTTCATTATCGATTAATCTTCCAATCATTCTCAAGATGAATAATTGAATACTCACAAATTACAGGTGAGCATGGAGAAATGTCTGTTGCATCACAAACCCACATTTTCTTTTAAATGTAAGTTCTTGTAAGTCTAAATTTAACGAATAAGACTTAACGTGTTATTTTGCTAGCTTTCAAAGTGTGTTTTTATCTTGTTACCTTAATCAATAGGCAAGCTAGCTGTTTCCCTCTGCTTCCATTCTTTATGCTAAGCTAAGCTAAGGCTGCAACGAATAATACATTTCATTATCAATTCACCTGTCGATTAGATGGATCCATTAACATTAACAAATTACAAGCATGGAGAAATGTTTGCTGCATCACAACCTTTCTAGCAGCACATTTCCCATCTTGCCTCATTTATATTTACAACATGAGAGAATCCCTGTGGCCGGTGCACGTCAGCAGAGGACAGATAGCAGCTGTGTGTCTCTGTGAGACGTGAGGCCTGATTACAGCCTACGCTGATGTTTTCTACAGCTTCCTGGCCGCTCTGGACAGTGACAAGCACAGGCTCTTATCTCCCAACACAGGCTGGCATCAGGCTATTACTCTCTCACCATGCTTCACTTGTCTACTAGAGCAAAGTGGTTATGTTTCAGATTGAAATGTCTTTAAATGAGACCCTCTTATGAGATGAATAAGAGCTGAAATAAATCATTTGACATGTGGCCGTTTATTCATTATTTTGTTAAGAGCTAGAGAATTGATACCATTTAGTTTTTTGTATATTAAACATGATGCTAAAGCCATGAGCTTAGCTTAGCATAACGACTGAAAACAAAAACGGTCTTTCTTGGACTGGTGTGCTACTTACTAGCTTGCTTGCTCGCTAGCCTGGGACATAAGCTAACCCCAAAACAACATTTCTTTTTAAAACTTCAGTTTTTCTAAAGATTATACAACCACACGCTAACATTGTTTAGTGAGATTTAAAGGTGCTATCCGATTTATCTACCTTCAGACAAAGCCTTTGTGTTTGCTTCCAATCTTTATGCTAAGCTAAGCTAACAAGCTCTTCATCTCCATTATAGATTTATCTGTCTGTCAATAGTGAAATATGTCCAACCAAGAGGATGTCTTTTAATGTGATGTTTTGTCAGTCCAAAACCCAAAGACTTAAAATGATGAAAAGCAGAGAAATAGCACTAGATGGACTAGTGGTAAGCTGATTAATAACTGCAGCAAAGCTATCATTTGACCAATCCAACAATGGTAAGAAAGCACATGAGCCTATTTCCCAAAGTATCAAACTCTAAAATAAAGCATTTAAGTCTGAATTGACATTATACAAACAACTACCTCTAATATTTATTAACAACATGTTAAGCCAGGTCATGATTTATTGAAGTAAGATTGAAATAAGTCTACTGGTCCGCAAAAAAAAAATCTAGTACACAGACGCACGTCAATCATCAATAATGCAAAGGTTGGCATTTGGTTTGTTTTGCAGCTCTGACATCAGTGAAGCCTCACTGCTCTTCCTGCACTTGAGGAAGCTTTTGGTTTGCCAGGAGACGGCTTTAATAGATTCAAGATAGTTACTGACCTAATTATCATTGCCTTGCAACAGAGTTGGTGGTAATTGATTGATATAGCTTTGTAACTCAGTTCCAGTGCAAAGAAAAAGCAATAGACGGCATTGACCACAGACCAGAAGGAAATTCATGGAGGTGAAAATATGTATATTGAAATGAAATGTACTGATCATGTGCAGTGGGGTGATGCTTTGTAATGCTGATAGGAAGGGAAGATGAAGACATGAGCTGTCTAAAACAATGTAGGATTTTGCTCAGATAGTCTGTTGTTACATCAGATCCTGTGTGGTAGAGGTTACGGTAGATTACCAACCCTCTGCATCATCAGGTCGCAGACTTGTATCCAGTCACTTTTCATGAAAACAATTATATTAAAAAAGGGTTTTCCACAGTTAAATCATCCAAGTGGAAACAAACCCTCTGCTCAGGAGGTACAGATATATCTGGCTCTGACGTGGACGGGGACACTGTGGAGATGACAATCAGGAGAAGGGGCATCTTACCGGAACGTACTAGAATAACCTTTACTCTCTCACTTTTACTCTTTCAGCTGTGGGGACTGAAGAGGAGGTCTGCGTTCAGTAAAGAGGGAGGGTTCAAGAGACGAAGAGAAGGAGGAGGAGGAGGAGGAGGAGACAGGAACAAAAAGAAGCCAGTGAAGCAGAGAGAGACAGAGAGAAGGCAGCAGTGATACAGATGATAACAGACTGCTGCTGTTTAAAGATGGATTTAACTTTTCTTCAAACTCTGGAGAGAGAAAGAGTCCTGGAGGTTCTTCGGAGAGACCAACAGCTGCGTACTATTGAAGAGGACAGGATAAGGTGAGTCATTTTGACTACTTTCATAATTACTACTGCATGGGAAATACTTCTTACAGTAATGATGCTGAAGGAGAATGTACAACCATCTCTCATTATGAGACCAGCAACAAACAGTCATAATGGAAATAAGATTTTGTGGGTTTGTTGTGACAAGAAGCTTATAAAGAATTGATGTTTGTCATTCACATTTATGTTTACATTTGCTGACAGAAGATAATTCTTCTTTGTCTAACAGCTTAAATACATACTGTATCTTCAAAATGAACCGTTGTATATCAATTACTCAATTGAATTAATGAATTATTGCAGGAAACGTTTTTCATATTAATCCATAGAGAACAAAGAATGCAATTAAAATAAAGTCTTGATTAATTTATTTTAATAAGGGCCCAATTTAAAACAGCAAAACTACATCAACACATCAGTTTACAAACTAACCCTTACCCTGTCACCCAACCCGTTAATTATATCCAGTCTTATGTTAAATACCTCCTAAACACATGCTATGATTTTGAATCCTTAGCTGGTGAAAAATCATGTTAACCCCTTTTGTTGACTATCTTACCTTTAACAATTCAAGGTAAGTATAAGTGATATGTATATGGTCATTTTGTGGGTGGAGTATTCATTTAAAGTTTGTGCTTTCCTCCATCTTCATCTCAGGAGGATGAAACATGACCTCCAGGAGCTTCGGAGGAGAGGTGCGAAGAGTTTCTCCCGGCAATACGGTGAGCGGACCTGCGCTCGCTGCCAGAGGCCTCTGGGAAAACTGTGGAACTCCGGAGCGGTGTGCCGCGGCTGCAGCCACCGCATCTGCAGCCGGTGTCGCGTGGGAGCGGAGGACTGGAAGTGCACGGTCTGCCACGCCTACAGGTGCACATGCTTACTACAACTATTAAAGGGGACCTATCATGCAAAATGAACTTGTGTATGTCTTTTATACATAAATATGTGTCCCCGGTGTGTCAGGGAACTCACAAAGTCTCAGAAACAAAACCCTCTCTCTTTTCCTCCGTGCCCAAATTTCTAAAAGCGGGGTTACAACGGAGCTGATCCAGATTTGCTGCCAATATAACGTAATATAGGAAATGTGGGCTGGCTTTACACCCACGGCCCTATCTGAAAGTTGTTATCAGAAACAATGCCCGACTGTTTTGGACATAATACGGTCTTTGTTTACATTAGCAAGTATCGCTAACACTCAGAGCTAACCTGTAGCCTACTGGAGAGAATGTGTAAGAAGCAAAAAGGAACTCACCTTGTGGTAAACCGGCAAGAGAAAAAGCCTTTGAGCTGCATACTGTTTCAGAAATAATCCTTGATGTGGTTTGACACTGAGTTGCAACACAGCTCAAGTATTTCTAACCACTTTTACCTTGTTTTTCTCCACATTTAGCAGTTTTCTTTGGCTATAAAAACATTTCAATCTCACTTTACAGCAACTGCTCATTTCCAAATAGACTCTAGTACGTTAATAAGTATGTGTGAGTGGTAATAATGTGATTTTGTTTTGTTTTTATTCCTCACAGAGATGTCAAGTTCAGGTCTGGAGAGTGGTTCTTAGAGGAGAGGGCTAAGAAGTTTCCTTGCACCGCAGGTGTGTTTACAATACTCATTCATATTTATAACCTGAATAAAATGCTCACATTTGTATTAAGTGTCACTGTCTTCTTTTGATAGTGTGTAAATGTTTCTCTTTTTATCGATCCTCACAGACAAATATGAGATGGTTGGAGACAAACTATTAAAAACCTACAATGTGTTCAGGTACGAGGAGTTTTAACACATGTGTTCTTGAACATTATATGATTATATATATTATATGAGAAACTTGAAAATAAAAGCCAAAGTAACATGTTTTTTGTTCTGATATTTTTTACAGTCACATATCAGTAGTGCCTCCGACTCCTCCGCCCTACTTATTATCAGATTATGCGTTTCTGAACAGACATGGGGTAAAACACTGACATATTCCCATCTTTATTCTACAAGTGTATGTATGGACTGAGTGCCAATTAACGATGTGTTTTGATCTGCAGGATTTAAAAAACTCAAAGCCTTTTACCAAATCTATGGAGGATCTGATGGATTCCTTCACCAGTCATATTAAAAGTAAGTTGATGCATCTTTGAAACACTTCCTCTCATCGGTTTAATGGTCAACATTGATGAGCAATTCTTTATGCAACACCAAAAAAAGTCAAGTATTTCCAGTGTGCATGGTGAGAACTTTTCAGAATTGACAGCATGACTTCCTCTTGATGTTATTGCATATTAATCTGATGAGCAATGATTACCACAAAGGAAGTGTGTCATGAATAATATGATGCAAACACAATCAAGAGTTAATCAACTGCACGAGAAGTTGCATAAGATAAGGGTCACAGAAAGCAACGACATAATGTATTGCATTGTTAAAAGAAAAAAACAGTTTGAAATGTGTATCTGGCTTTAAATAGTTTTAGTTTTTCTCTGTGAGTTAACATTTATTCAGTTATTTCCTGAGATTTGAAGAGTCTAACTCAGAGGTGTACAAACTACGGCCCGGGGGGCCAAATGCGGCACGCGGACCATTTTGAATCGGCCCTCAGCAAATTAAAAAAGTATAATGAAATATGGCCCACAAATCAAACTTGTGCTTGTCTTATATTGTACTTCTTAAATATAAATGTAAAAATATATTACACAGTAGTATTCATGTGTTAATAAGACCACTTTTCAAATAAATGTAGTCAATTAAACGTGGAAACATTTTCTAACATATCTTAGTTGATAAGAAAAAAGCCCACTGACTTGAAACATACCCTTCCTATTTCTCATTATTATAATCAATCTGAGGCTTCTGTTTGAAGGGATGAGCTGCCAACACTCACAAGCATCATTTACCTACATTTGATTGATTTTTGCTAACCTCTACCCTATACCTCTAGTGAGTTCCCCAGCCCTTCGTATATTTTTTTCTGTATGTGGCCCTCGGTGAGAAAAGTTTGGACACCATGGTCTAACTTCTTGTTTCTCGATGCAGAGATTTCCACTTCTCAGAACGATGTGCGAGGAGACCTGCTGAGTGTGGACAACGACCAGAGAGGCTCCAAATTGAGCACCCAGAAGAGCCTCTCTGAAACTGACATCAGCAAATCTAGCAGGGTACGTGAGCTGCAACAAATCCACACGTTCAGCTTTAGTGCCTTAAAATGCCAGTACACCTATACTGGCTTTTTGGGGTTTTCCCTTTTCCTGTAGTGTGTCTTATGGGTTTTTGTGCATGTAAATGGTCTGCAAAGTGTTATTCCACAGGCTATAAGAATGTTAAACACCTGAACTTTTGAAAGGACATACATAACATTCATCTGTTTGCAACTCACATATATCATATATATCAATATTCCACCGTATAGACTATTCTGCACAGTTTCTATCATATTCTGTTTCTAATATATTCAATTTTACTTTATTTACTTGTACTATTTTATCTGTTTTATTGTGTTGCACTTTTGGAGGAGCCTGTGACCTAATATTTATATTGTCATAACTACACTGTAGCTATTCACACATGACAATAAAAGCCTTGAAACTTGAAACTTGAAACAAATGCTAAAATCCCAAAGTTCATTCCAGAGGCCTGAAACGCCTCGATCTGACTTTTTGTTTACTGCTGTTACACGGTGACATCACTATGTAACACTCGGACTCCAATTGGCTATCAAATGTACAAAATGATTTGGATCAGTATATAGGCCTACTTAAAGTACCAAAAGTGAAAGTCAACTCAATTTCATCTTATCTCGCTAAGAAGGAATAACTGTTATTAAATATTAAATAAATGACCCTGCGTCTTTCTCCAGCTCTTTAAAGGCCCTAGTCTTCCAAACCTGTTCAAGAAAAGCAAAGACAGCGACCAGGAGGGCTCGTCCACGGGGGCGGAGGAAGAAACTTCCTGTGGTTCTGAGTACTCCGGAGGAAAGAGAGTAAGTAGAAACTGATTATCAGAGAAAAAAATCCCCCAGTGACATCCTGTGACGTTAGAAATATCACACTCTTATGTCAGCCCTTTAGCTCATATAAAAAATACTCTTATTGGCCTCAGTTAGTACAACTAGACATATCTTATATATTTTGTTGAGTTGGTCATTTACATTGTCCAAAATGTTTCTTTTACTGATTTTAATGATTGAAATCTATAATAATTATTTTCTGTAATCTTCATGCCATGTATTCCCTTTGAGCATGTGTCTGCTTTGTAGTTGTTTGCCAGAAGCAGAATAACGATTACAAAGAAAAAAGTAATTCCCACATATTGATTGCCTTGTTTCATTAAACGGGTTGCTGTTTCCTGAAGCCAGAAGCTGTCAGAAATTAAATGTTTTAACTGAACAAAGTGGACATTTGATCAGATTAACAAGTTGAGCAAACACAAATGCAAACTCCAATCACAGCCCCTCCTGGACGTTCGTTTTCAGTCAAGCTACCAAGCTAAGCAACCAGAAAACACAGATGTTTTAACATGAAACTGCTATATTCAGTGTATCATGAAGTCCGGAGACCCTCAGTGGCAGAATACTACATGTTGTGTATTTAAATGTTCTCACTGGCAGAATACTACATGTTGTGTATTTAAATGTTCTCACTGGCAGAATACTACATGTTGTGTATTTAAATGTTCTCACTGGCAGAATACTACATGTTATGCTTTGAATGTTCTCAGGGCAGCAGCTGCAGCATCCTCAGCACAGACTGCGGCCTCTTGGAGAGCGTCAGCATGGACGGAGAGCTGGAGCTGGCTCTGTCCTACAGCAGCGACTCGTCCTGTCTGGAGATCACCGTCGGGTGCTGCAGAAATCTCTACTACGGAGACGCCAAGAAGAAGAAGT